TAGATCGTAAATCGGGGGTCGTGACGGAGCGCTTCAATGGCGAGCCGGGGTTTCCCTGACGACGCTGCAGTTCTTCCAGGCGTTTGCGGCCACTCGGACTACTCAAAAGAGCCTCCCGCGGTGATTTTGGCGGCCATGGAATATCGACCACTGTGGCGCAATTGAATATTAGCACTATATCACGAGAGTGTGGCAAAAAGACTGTACTCACTGCTGGTCATTAGCACACGCTAGCTATATAAATTGGAGAAAAACAATTGAGGGCAAGGGCGGTATGCAGTAAGAGGCGAAGAGGGTATTTAGCGATTGTTAGCCTCGTTGGTGACTGCTTGCCATGTTCAGGCGAATGAAGGGATGCGGGGAAAAGATGATCGAAGCAGATGTGATTGTCGCGTAGTATCGAGTCGACTCAGTAAGAATACAGGTGTGGGTGTAGAACTCCCTCAACCACGGTCCATCTCCACTGACAACAACAACAAAGAAGAGACGAAGGGAGGCTGCAATGGGAGGCGACTAATCGAGGACATGCATAAGATGAAACGCAAGGGAAGGGAAGGGTCGATGAACGAAGCAATGACATTCTGCCACTGCATTTCAACGCACTTCTCACGTTAACTTAAGTTGGAACTTAACTTTAACCGCCGCGGGCGGATTGTGAGTTTCTTTCTGATTGGTTCGCGCGTTGTCGCGTCGGCCGACCGAGAAGACGCGTTGAGCACTTCCGGGCCAGGTGCGCTTCAATTGACTTCAATTTACGGAGACAAAGTACGTACAGTCCGGAGTACTCCTCTTCAACATCAAAAGCAACTCCGTAAAATCCGCAATGCTACCGCTTGTCGCTATTTGATCACCTCCTCTACGTCCCATCTCCCCCACAAAACCCACCACAACCCTCGCAATGCCGCGCACTCGATCCTCCGCTCCCTCGGAGCCTCCGGCGCAATCGGCCTCAGCGTCTCCTCCTTCATCAGAGTCCGAACAACAACAACAACCCCAACAGCCTTTAATCCCAACCAAGCCCAGCAAAACATTCATTCTACCCTCCACGGCCAGCCCCGAAGCCCGATTTCTCAACCTCCCCAATCCCCAAACCAGCGAGCCCACCCGCTACTTCTTCTGCCCGCAACAGGGCGTCTACGAATTCACCACCATCACCACCGCCGCGCCCGCCGCACGAAGCATTCTCTTTGCGCGCAACAACTCCACACCGACCACCACAACATCATCCTCGCCAGACGATGACACCGCTGAAACCTCACCTCCCACCGCTCAAGAGCCAGCGCCGCGCTCGCCACCAGCCTTAATCTCCTCAACCGCATCCATCCACCTCGCCACACCCCTCGACTTCATCTTCTTCCTGATCCCCCTATTGACCACCGCCAAAGCCACGCTCTACCAACCCCTCGACGACATCATCGACTCCATCCAAGACGAACTGGCCCCGCACCTCCGCCACGTCCTCTACAACGAGACCTTCCGCGCGACGATCCACGCCCGCGCCGCCGCGATCTGCGATGCCGTCGACGCCGGCGGCGACGAGAAGCTGTTCCGCTTCAGCGAGAAGAAGCTCCTGATGGAGCTGATGACGAAAGCGGAGCGGATCCTCGCGGCCCACGGGGGCAGTCTGCCCCCGAGTCTGGAGGAGAGGTTTGTGCGGAGCGAGCTGGCGATGCCGTTGATGGGGGTGAAGAGCAGCAGCAGCAGCAGCACGTCTGCCGCGGTGACGGTCGAAGTGGTTGTTTCAGGCCATAGTGAAGAGAATAAAGAGAATGAACTCGCACCCCAGAAAAAGGAGGAGGCCCCGGTGGTGGCTGATGCGGATTCGACAACGACAGCCATAAAAACAGAAGAGGAAGAACTGCTTCCTGAAGGACCGTCGACCCCCGATGGCGTGGCGGAGCTGCTGCGCATCTCGACCGCGTTGACCTTCATCAAGGAGTCGTACCTGTCCAGGGAGATGGGGGCCCGGATCGATGAGATGCTGGCGGCCCCGGACGCGCCCAGGGATTTCCGGCCCATGCGGGAGCATCTCGAGCTGGTCGCGAGATTGAGGAAGGAGGCCCTGGCGGCGAGGTCGCTGGGGGATTTCAGTCGGAAGCGCAGCGCTGAGGACGAAGAGGCGGCAGAATCGCGGGCGGAAAAGAAGAGGCGGCAGGAGGAAGAAGAGAAGAAGAAGAAGGCTGGTGAGTCGAGAGGTGTAAGAGACTTGAAAAAGGTCAATACCACGGGGATGAAGAAAATGAGTGATTTCTTCGGAAAGGCGGCAGCAAAAAAGAAGGCCTGACTTGGCTGTTTGTTGGTTTCTTCTTGATGGCATTTGGAGGCGGGCGTTCACTGGATCGGGGAATTGGTGTATGTGATTCTGAGTCATTTAGAGAACGGTGTGCCGTGCTTGATGAAAATTGCATCATATGTAGAATCGGGAGGATGTAGAGATACTTGACCACGAAATACGAGAACGGCGGAGAATCGAATATGTTCATCGTTTGGTATTCAATTTGATTGGATATCTAAGGGGAGACCAAGACAGTACCTAGCATGTCCCTCAAGCTAAACTAATGATCTACCTAAGGTGGGTGAGAGTGAGCAGGAGAGCCCGAAAAAGCAGGGGGGGAGTGGAATCATAGACATCGTAGTAGCGATCAATGATTCGGTCCAAGTGCAAGAAGAGAATCGAGAAGAGAAGATAGGAGAACAACGCCAACCATATGTGCTTCGCCAAACCTAGCCAGTTCCATCCCGCTTGAACACGCATCCCATAGAACTACTATCCTCCCTAATCGCGAGTGTCGGTCTCATAATCATGTCGTTTGGTACGTGTTGTGTGAGCCAGACATCGGCAGGATAGTCGAATGCATCGATCGAAGTAAAGAAAGAGAAGAAAGAGCCTAGAACGCTAGAACACGCAGTGAGGTAAAGATCAGAAAAAGAAATTTGGAAGACAGATTCGGAAAACACCGTATGACTCCTTTGCTTGAGTTGGTAAGGTCGATAGAATTTGAGATTCATCCCCAGTAAAATTATGTCGGTCACCCCAGGCTTGTCATCATGATATCGACGTAGTTGCGCGATTGCCGCGGGTCTTCTTTGGAACGGGACCAGGACTGGCAGCAGCGTCCGCGTCACGTTTCTTGGCCTTGGTACCGACCACGGGGGGAGCTTGCTTGCTTCGAAGCCAGCCGTCGAAGGGACTAACGCGCTTCTTCTTGGTTTCGGAGCCCGAGGCAGACGGGGTTTCGCTCTTCTCTGTGCTATCTCGCTTGATTCGAGAGCGCAGGGAGCGTACTGTGCCACCGGGAGATGAAGGGGACGCTGTGGTAGTCCGTGGAGGAGGTGTGACAGACCGCTGTAGCATGTCGAGATCGAGGTCGGTATTGTCTGTCTCTTCAGCCTCAACGTCAAGTAAATGATCCTCAATGTCTGTAGCTGCTTCTTCGTCCGCTTCGCCCGTGCCATCCTGCTGTGCATCAGAAGCCGCAGAACGGAAGAGCACGCGGGGTTTGATTGATGAGCGAGTGAGAGGTCGAAGTTTCGTGGTCACAGATTCATCGATAAGATCTGGACGAGCCGCCAGCAAGCCCAGGTCATCATCGTCTTCGTCCTCGCCACAGCTGTCAACGTCATCGGTGAACTTGCGGAACATTTTCTTGCCACGGCTGCGAAGTGGAGTTAGAACATATGACAGATACATCAGAATCAAGGTATGACTTACAATACGTAGACCATGCCATCTTCACGCCTGACTGACTCCTCGACTTCCTTATCACGGATCATCTCTTTGCGTCGGGAAGTGCGAGTGCCTGTGTTACTACTGGGCTTCTTGTAGAACGGGTTTCCTTCACTCTTATCCAACTCTGGGACACGATCGCGAGAATCGGTGTAGATCTTGATCTCTGTTCCGCTTTGGCCGAAATCCTCAGTGAAGCTATCTAGCGAAAACCCAGTATGTTTCTTGGGCTTCTTCCGTGAGCTGGAGCTGGGAGGCGGAGGAAAGAGAACTCTGGCGGTATTCCCAACATCTGCGACTGCCTTCTTACGTGGCGTTTTTGCTGGTGTGGGAAGCATCCCTTCAGTGAGTGTGGGCCGGAGAAATTGTGGGGGACGAGTGTGGGAAGGCTCGGTGTTGAAAGGGTCGGAGTCGTCCAGAGTGGAGTGTGGTAGTGAATGTGTTCCAGTGAGCCGGCCCGATTTTTGCTTCCGAGGAGAATTTTGGATAGAGCCTGGTGGTGACAATGTTGCTGATTCCCGGGCGTTTTGCTTCTTCGGAAGCTTTGAGCTTGCGCGCGCAGGCGGAAAACTAGGCGGCGGCGTGGTCTGAGACTCTCTGGAAGCACGTTGACTGGCAAGTCTGGACGAAAAACGCGTAGAATAGGGCTCATATTGATCATATTTGGCACCATGTCGGGGGGTGGGAGGAATCCGTAGCGTGGAAGGCGGCGGTGGTGTTGTCGCCATTCTGTGTGAGATACGTGTATCCTAGGTGACGATATATATCCTCAAACAATCCCAGCTCCAAGCCAACAGAGAACGATCGCTGAATCGTGATGTAGTCGATTCCAAGAGAGTCGCAAATGATGGGTGTTGTGCAAGGTCCGTTCCAGGCCGTGGTGCAAGCAGTCCAAGGGAGACAAAGGGAGGAAAACGCGACGACCGGGAAGCCGACTGCTTCTCCAACGCGAGTAACCAAGCCGATCAAAAGTGGACAGATAGGATCGGATGGGAGCGAAAGAATGGAGAATAGACGTGATAGTCGGAGTGGTGGTGATCGTGGATGTGATAGTTGGGTAATTCAATGGTGATTGTGGTGGTGGTGGTGGTGGTAGCAAAGTTAGTGATTGAATTGAATGAAGAAAGGATGGAAGTTGGTAAAGGGAAGAGAACTTGGTTGGCTGGTTGGAGGGGGGAAATGCCGGTGGGCAGGCGGGTTTGGGCGCGAACTTGGAAGGGCGGAGCAACGCCCGTGGTTGTGGAATGCTCTTGTTTCCTTCCCAGCCACACCAACCCAACTCCCGTTTGACTCGACAACCTTCGATCGAGGCTTCAGCAAATACCCTAGTCTATGATCAGTGGCTGAACACGCCCCACGATTACTCTCCGACGATCCGCGGCTTGTCATCTATCCATTGGTCTCTCACTGAGCTACGCGCTACAGACTTAATCAACTCGAGTTTATCCTTTATCGATCCGCCCCTCTCTGCAACTCCCACTTCCCCTCCGCCCATTTTCCCCTCCCCCTCCTTCTCAACAAAAAATCATGGCATTTCGCAGCACAGCAGATGATTTGAATCTGCAATTATCTGACGACGAATCTGATGGTCTCTGGAGCTCGCCTTCCAAGCGTGGAAACAATCGGCATGCCTCCAAAGTGGTCAAGGAGGAGAGCTTGTCACCCGAACCAACAAAAATCCCTCCCCATGATGATGGAGAGACAATGTTTGACCGCCAAGAGGCGCGCGAAGCCGCTTTGCGCAGTGAGCTAGAGAGCGTTCGTAAGATCAATCAAGTCATTGAGGGTCTCCTCGGGAGCCTTGACCGTGCCAAAGGGAATATGGATGTGAGTGTGGTGTTACTGCGTCATTGTTTAGACCTATAGTCGTTAATTGTGGACTCATTGTAGACTGTTTCACGAACGCTCGATTCTGCTTCTACCCTCCTGAATACCTGGACTCGGATTCTCTCCCAAACCGAGCACAATCAGCGTTTGATTCTCAACCCGAACTGGCAAGGCGCAGTTCAAGATGTGGCCGACTCGGAACACGAGGAACTTCTCCGACAGCAGGCTGCCGAGAGACGCGAACGAGAGCTTCAACAACAGCGAGAAGCTGCTGCCCGCAAGGCTGCGGAAGACGAGAGAAAGAGAGCCGCCGCTGCCAGCGCCAGAGGCACCCGCGGGTCGAGTTATGGAAGAGTGCGCGGTGGCTTGGGAAGAACTCCTGGCATCTCATACTCGGGCACACGACCTGGTGCCACACGGACCACGGCGTCTTCAACCACAACGGGGAGACCGCCTATGACTAGTATGACACGTAGACCGGCCAGTGGGATTGCGAGGGGCTCGGGGATTGCGCGTGGTCGCGGCCGGGCCTAAAAATGGTAAATATGGCATGACGATTGCGGATGAGACATGTATAGTATGAGACCAATGAAGGAGGCACTAAGTTACTGTGATTATGATGATACCCCTCATGAGAAGACAACTTTCGCAAATCCAATTACCAAATGCACTTTCTCCGTAGCACATATCCATGATGTAAACAAAAGATGTCGCGGGGGGACGGATAAGGTTGCCTAAGGCACCAAACCACATCACCGCCCATACCAAGTTAATGTGAGATCCATTGCGATAAAGCTTCCATCGCCCCGATAAGCTTGCGCGACGTTGCCTGGATTGCAACTTGACTATGGACCCATCCTTCTCAACACCATGAATTTTGCCCCGTACCAGGACGAATCGCCCGAGGTGGAACGTGCATTTTCCCCCTCGCTGGGCGAGGCGCACCGTACAAGACCCTCCAAAATCCAGTCCCCGCGCGGCTCTCCAGCCCCTGGTCTTGCATCGCCCGGTCTGCCATCCCCGAGTCACTTTGCCGGTGGTGCTGGTGCTGGTACAGGCAACGTCAACAACGCCAGCGGCCATGGAAACACTGGCTTCGGAAACGACCTCGAGGGCGGTCGGTTGAGCCTCGGCGCCTTCGACACCAGTCTCCCCATCCGCATGGACGTCGAAGCAATGCTGGCATATCTGCTTCTGCCTCCCGCCGGTGGTGTTTTTCTCCTGTTGGTGGAGCACAAGAGCGACTACGTACGGTATGTGCCAACCACGGCCAAAATCCAGCCGACCTTTATACTTCAGCGTCTTAGTCCTCCTGCTAACTAGGATATAGGTTCCATGCATGGCAATCGAGCATGCTCTTCACCGCCATGTTTGTAAGTTTTTCCTTGTCGTTGTTGTTGGTTGCAAATCGGACTCCAGCCAAACGAGGCCATGGGCTCACCAATTTCCCAGATAATTCACCTTATCTGCTCCGGATCAAGCTTCCTATCCTGGCTGTTGTTCGTCGGTGATCTTGCGATGATCGGTTTCTTGAGCATGCGTGCTTATCGCGACGGTAGGGCTGCCCCCCCTTTCCCCTCCTCTCTCTCTTGTCGACCGGGTTTTGCGGTTATCACGCGCGCTGACATCGGTCACCCCCCCCCACAGTTGATACGCTCGATCACTTTGAGGTCCCTATCTTTGGCCGCCTGGCGAACTCCTTTGTCGATGACGAATGATGATACCAAACCTAATCTTAGTTTGTGGCGAACCCTTGGTTGTCCATTCAATGCCCGCTGGATGGGAAGTCGGGTGTCGGGCCTGCATTTCCCTTTCAACTCTATTCATTCATCTCTTGGGTGGCTTCAGATGGAGTAAAGCTCGTTCCCTGTACAGTGTCGGGTCGAGAGCATAATACATAACTACGTTCCAGCGCGCATAAACCTTAGCTTTCCAGTTTTACATGTGTATGCTGTATATGTTTGTTCCATACGTTCATCTTGTCAGTGATTTCACTCCTCAATACTTTCCTGGGTAGGCAGGAAAATCAAACTTCGGCCTTTTCCCTTGCCCGTCACATCCTGGTTTCTCATCTTTATTACCCCGATGACCAGTTCTTGACGCATCGTGGTTACGGGTTCACCTGCGTACACCGGGAATGATTGTGCAGGTAGAAGACCCCGGCCTAGGATCTATGAGGTAGGGACACGGGAGAATATGTACTGAACTTCGTAGCTTGCGGAAAGCTTCCGCGCTCAATCCTAGATTCAGACAATTTGATATTTGGGATAACAACATTAATCAACCGAGCCCCAAACCATAAGGAAAAGAAGGGCAATCGTCATATTAATCTGACAAAGAGGTATCGCGAACTCATAAGGACCGACTTCCAAACGACAGGGCTTGCAAAGGACAGTAATAGTCGAGGGGTAGCAAAAGTAGGTAAAAGAGTGATTACATGGCTTGGGCGGCAAATGTGCTGGAAGAAGTAGAACCAGAAGGAAATAAAAAGAAATTAGGCACAAACTGGTATCAATATCATGAACGCGTCAATTAGGATAAAGGTCACTGTCGGCTTGTAGGTGTATTGAAATGTTCATGAAATAACAGGGGTATGGGTCATTGCATAAATCCAGAAGATTGCTGATACTAGATGATCTGTAGATAGTTGCTCGGCACCAATCCGGTTCGGCTTCGAGTGGTTGTGATTTCGGCTTCCCACCAGCCATCATCTTGCAGCCGGATGACAGAAAGCACGTCGCCTTTGCTGAAGCCTAGTTCCTCAGGGATAGCGGCCGTGTAACTGTACATTGCTCGAGCTATAGAAATGAGTGTTAGGAGGGCGCCTCGTCAAAAGGGCAGCGGAAAAGGAGGAGTCAGAACTTACCGAAATGTAAGATTGGTCTACCATCACGACTGAACTGTCTGCCAGGGTCGGCGACAGCCATTGACCTACTTCTCGACCGGCTGCGTACGCTGGCGTTGTCACCATAATATGACATGGGTCTGCCGCTGTCGCGCCGGGACGCATAGCCATCATTGCTGCCACCGTACATGTCAGAGGGGCTGGACAGTTGTAGTTCCATACCTCCAGCACTGGAAGGACGAGCCTGCTGTCTGAACTGAGGCTGAGGTGACACAGCCCGTGGGGGTTGTCGAAACTGTGGCTGAGGTGAAACAGCTCGCGAAGCGGCCGCCGTGGGAGACTGGCGATACTGAGGCTGGGGAGACACTGCTCGCGGCATACTTGTGGCCACAGAGCCGCGCCTAGAGCGGGGTGTAGCATCAACAGGGCGTTGAGGAGGTGTGGAAACGGTGGGAGACTGCGCATATCGGTTCTTCATGCTATTTGACTGGTACGAGCTCGGGCTCGGGCTTGCTGCTCGACTATACTGGCCCATGCGCGTATCCACGCGGGGAGGATTGACCTGAGGGCTGGCGCTTCGCCTGGGCGCCGGAGATTTAGCACGGGGAGCGTCCTGTGTTTGACCACTGTTTCGCCTCGGAGCCTGGCTCGTGCCTCTAAGCATACTCTGGGTCTGTCCAGTATACCTCTGAGTTGTCTTTTGCATCTGGGCTGCAGTAAAAGCGGGCTGCGGTGCATCTAGACGCTTCAATGAAGAATCAGTATAAGCTGGAGGAGGTGTTGCGACAGAGCCGGGGGTGGCCGTTGGTGCTGCGACCGGCGGCGGAACTGGCGTAGCGATACCGTGATATCTATCGGCTGAGACTCGAGTCGCTGACTGCTTTCCTGCGCCTTTCAAATCTGCTAAGGCTCGGGCAACAGGGTCTTGCTCCTCCTCTGATTTCTTGCTCGCCTGTGCTGTCTTCTTAGCATCCTTGTCTGGAGACTCCACATCGAACACGTTGTTGCCCACATTGAGCTGGAAATTAGCTCTCGGATCAACGGGCTCGGGGCTACCAGACACCCTGCCCGAGTCTGGGATGGATATAGGTTGTTGAGGCTGAGGAGCTTTGATCGGGCTTGCCTGCTTTGCTGGAGGCTCGTATGAACTGCGAGAGGGAGCCTGAGCTGGGCCCGAATGGCGATCTTTATCGTGCCGACTCTTGCGACGGAAAGGACTATTGCTGAAGAACGCGCTTCGCTTCTTTTGAACCTGCTTATCCATGCCAGGAAGTGCGACGCCATTGATCGGTTTGGTCGGAGATTGTCTTGCGCTTGAAGGTTCTTGGCTTGACATCGAAGTCGGATTTGACACCTCACTCTGAGAGTCACGACTCGACGGTCTATATGCGCTGTTTGTCCCTGAGCTGCGTTCGGAGGGAGGCCCCGTCCGGCAGAACATCGTCATGCCATCCGTAGGATAGGCGTTATGAGGTACAGTGCCGATCTCGCCATGCTCATTAGGATCATAATTGGGCGGTAAGTACCCACCACGCCGAAGATCCAACGGAGCCGGTTGTTGCATAGGTGGAGGCTGCATTGGCTGCACCGGCTGCACCGGCAGCGGCTGTTGGATGGGCTGCTGGATGGGCTGCTGGATGGGCTGCTGGATTGGCGGCTGGATGGGCTGCTGCACTGGCTGTTGCATAGGTGGTTGCTGTCTAGCCTGCGGTGCTGGCTTCTGTGGAGTGACGGTAGCTTCCCTGCTTGTAGGAGTCGGAGGCCTATTAATCTTGGCTGCGATCTCAGCATCCGGATCCATACTGGCGTCATAGGCTGAAGGCTGCGGGGATGAACTGCGGTAGGCTGGGTTGATCGTGCGTTGGAACTGGGCTACTGAGTAGCCTTCTTCCTCTGATGCTTCGGAGCTAGTGTCATCGATTCCACCCCGGCAGAAATTGATAAATCTTGGTGGATCTGGTATGTCCTGCCCAGTTCCTCTTTCTTTGATAAAGTTGATTATGTCTTTCTCCACCTCGCAATCTTCTAAAGAAAGACGGATTTTCTCGCACGACTGCTTATGCATTAGTCGCTGAGCTGAGTACCCGCAGCAGTCCAGAGAAAACTTATAACTTACAGCATCATCACTGACGCAAACTGTAGAAGCAATGTTTGCGTATGTCCAAAGACTGCTTTTGGTGAAATCGAGCCTCTCTTCCTCCAGGTCTTGAAATTTCTGGAATTTTGTCAGTCAAAGAAACTTTGAGCAGTCATGATCCTTACATCGCAGGCAGATTTCCACTCCTTGTTCCAACGGCCAGTTGTCTCTTCTAGTATCTTAATTGCAGCTTCGTACTCGCTGCTGCTGGATGCTAATTGAATCTGCGTCTTCTCAAGCTTGGCTTTGTTTTTGCGCTCTTCCTGACCCATAACCATGTGACCCTGCGCGAGATATCCTTTGATTCGCAAACAGTCCTGTTCGTAACGATCTCTTGTCTGCAACAACTTAGCATCCGGCTTATACTGCGCTTGATGTCAAAGTATCTCAGCCTACCTTGTTGACGACATGGGCTTGCTGGATTTTAGTTTTAAGAAGGCGTTCGATACCATTCTGAATGATCTTTCTACGCTCTTTAGATCCTCCCGCAAAAGCGATCAGTGGCTCCTCCAGCTCTCTCTTCATCTGTGTAGAAATTGCTGCGTGGGCTTTCGCAATAGCTTCGGTTTCACCGCGGACCGTGT